CACATACATAAAACTCTCCGCATATTTACAAAACAATGCTTTTTACTCGAGAAAACAAAACACCGACGAAAAGTCAGTCAATCCAAGCCTTCCTTTGTTTTCGTGGTTGGCGATGAAGAATTGTTGTCTGTCGGACTTTCTTTTACTCTTTTTCCACCACCACCTTTTTACATACAAATCCATGAAATTTTAAGGGTTGAAAGGTTTCCTTTTCTTAAATTTTACTTACAAAGGTAGAAAAATAATTCAGCCCGAAAGATCCTCTCTCGCACTAATCCTTTTATGGCTGCGAGATGATGAACAATGGGTAAATGACCACTCATTAATTACTCCTCGTTAAGTAAAATCAAATCCTTTCTTTTGTCTTTTACAGAACAAAAGTCCATAAACTTTTAAAAACCTGGTGGGTTTAAGCATGTAACAGAATTTTCAAGTCTTATTTTATTTCTTGGTATACGTTTTACGTAATGAGTAAACCAGTTTTAAACTTCTTGATCGATCAGGAAATGGAATTATAAATCCAATCCAGTCCAATTTTTGGGACTTGTAATTTTTACAAATTTTGTAATAGAATGCGGTCTATCAATCAATCAAGAATTTGAATTACGTGTCATGCCCGGATGTGCAAATAAAAAAGCACATAAATTATGCATACATTTTCAAGTTGAGAAATTAAACAGCTATGTAGGCGAATGAACTAGTTTAAAATTAAGAACCAGAATTTTACATACATAAAACAGAGCCGAGTTCATTACTAAAATTGGATCGTCTTAAAAATCTACGTGCCCAAAAATCTACAACAATTACTAATTATGATTACGACTTAAAACAAGAATTGAATAAATTAATGATCAAATTTGGATTAAATTGTTTCACGAATCTATCAAGTCCTGTTGTTTCAATTCTCTTTTGCTTGCTTGCCTAAAGGGTCAAACTAAGCTTATTGTGGTCGTATTTATGATTGTTAATTTAGTCAAATTCTATAGTATGCATATTGTTTTGCATGTTATTCATCGCGTCGAAAAATTACATATTTAATCAGAGTTCAGTTCAGTTCGGTCGGTTTGCTAATGGTAAGTGGATAAGATTTGATTGAGTGATTATCTCTCATTTGTTAGTTGGTTTATTAGTTTGGTTGGTTTTGGCTGCTTAATGAGGAGTAATTTGCAATCAATTGTGCTGAAAAGTCCAATTACTTACATACATATTCCTATATATTCCAGGATAAATAAATTGTAACTCTGGCTTAGCTAGAAAAAAAACCTAGCACGAAAAACGACTTGTCCAGTCCAGCAGCAGCAAACAAACAAATTCAATTCATTAGTTTTCGACTCCATTTTACGAAACGATTGGAAATTGATTCTTAATGAGCAAACTGAAGCCAGAGCCAAATATTGGGGGTAGGTTTGTTCACCAATAAAATAAATATGTAGCTAGTGAGACGAGACATGGATCCACCAACTGTTATATTTTGTTACTTCCCTTCGTTCTTCTTCTTATGACACGATATGATGGTGATGATCCATTTTATGTACGTATTTGTCTGTCAAGGTAAAGATGGGTCTTGTCCAGCTCTTTGTTTGAGCAAGCGAACATAAATTAGTTGCTGCTGCTGTTGGTGGGTTGATTATTTGACTTTTTAAAGCAATTTGTACAACTGCTGTAAGTAACCTAAAATTGTAAAAAGTCACGTTTTATGGACAGGGGGAAATCAACAAGCAAATAATGTTACATGCACGCGAGGCATGTTTTCTTAAGGGATGATGATTCCAGGTATGTAAAAATTATGTATTTGTGTCCTTCAGTAGGAGAGGTAGGTAAGCAGTGAGGATTTAGTTTTGTGGTTGCAAATTTACGAAATTAGACGTAAATTTTGCCATTCTAAGAGTAAAGTGGCATACGCATGAAATTGGGCATTCATCTAAATCCAAATTTACGTATTTGCTACATACCATTTTTTCTATTAAGGTCTCCAAAATCATGCATTTTTTTTAAATTTTTCCACATTTTTTTCACCCATTTTTCTACACATTTCTGAAACAGTCACATTAGCGACAATTCCATGAGATTATTGGAATACGCACGAAATAGGTCATGCATCTAAATCAAAATGTACATATTTACTACATACTATTTTTCCACTTATGGGATCCAAATCATACAAATTTTTTCACATTTTTTCACCCACTCGTCCAAATTTCTGAACCACTTGACAATTCCTCTCATATTAAAACCTTCCCCAAAAATTCAATCGCCTCTCTTCGAACGACAAGCGTTTAAAGGAAACCTCATAAATTGTAATTACCAGGATTCTCTCATTGTGGAACCTTTAACGACTTGTAATGACCATCAATTTCCAGCCGAATAAATTGACAAAGAAGACAAAAAACACATTTAAAAAATAAAAAAACTCCCACTTATCCCGATCCAAAATCTCCTCCTTGTTCGGCTCTCGTACATGCGTAAAAGTATTTGTTATTTCACACGTATCATAACTCATCCCATATTTATTGTTCTTTTTTTCTCTAAAGCAGAGGCAGATGCACGAAACGAAACTGGACCACATTTCAAGAGTTCATGCTCCCAATAAATATGCGAGATGCCAATAAATTAGGATACCCAACTAACTCTTTACTTTAGGCAGCCAATTTATTAAATCTCTCGTCGTCTTCCTATTTGTTCCCAATGCTATAAAAGGACTGCTAATAAATTTAATGAAAATTTTCCTGCCACATCGATCAATCATTTCATTCGCTTGTCCATCCATCGCCAAGAATGTATGAGGAATGCAGCATAGTTTTAGTCGTTTAGTTACTTGCAATGGAGGTCTCCCAGCGTATGCTATCCGATTTTGGCTAAATTAGTATAAATTGATTCGCAAATTTAATTAATATGAAATTTGCAAAAGACATGATCTCCCAATGGCGTTTACGTTTGTCAGAGATATTTACATCAAAAGAGGAGAAAACGCGTTCTAAACTTGACAAATTTTACACTTTCCAAATTTACAGTGCTTTTTCTCCTCTTCGGATGCAAATATCTATGCCAAACGTAAACGCCATTGGGAGACCGTACCATTTGCAAATTTCATGCTAATAAAATTTCTCATCGATTCGCACTAATTTGCTCAAAATCGGATCGCCTACGCTGGGAGACCTCTATTTTATTAGTTATTTAACCTGCCGCATCCGTTTCACTCGTTCTAATTGAATTGTCCAAATTCAATGTGAACTATACATTTTTTTCCATTCCGCAGTAGTACCCACTCACCAGGGGAGGCACATACATCCTCCACGCATGCAATTTCTTTAATAACTTCGTGCCGTATAAATGTCTCCTCTTGACATGAGTGAGGATAAAGTATGATTTAATCTTTTCGAGACAAATTGGACAAAATAATATTTATTTCTTTTCAAAATTAGCGAAAAATTTCAGTCTTAACATATGAAAAATGGTGGCAGTCTGGATCCCATTTTTTTATCCTTCCTCCTCCTCGTCAAATTACACAGGAATAATAATCATAATAATAACGGCATGAGTTTCAACAGATGGGAGTAGAGTAAGTAATATCTTTTATCGTGAAATAATCGGCGTGGTGTGCATTTATTATTTCATTGCATGAAGTTTCATTACATATACTTCTCCCAAGTCACGATTGATATTATTCAAGAGGCAGTTGAGCTTGGTTTGGTTGGCATTAACAAATAAAGGAGATTAGGGATGATAAATGTGAGCCTCTTTTTTGAGAGAAAGGGTTGAGGACGAGAGGGCCGCCTCTCGAGAGAAGGACGAGGGCGGACCTCACCTGCAAACCAGCCTCTGTAAACCAACCAAAAAACGGGATTCATTTCATTTCATGTGTATAAATCTCACCTGTAATGAAACCAAATAGGGTGCAAGTTAGCAAATCTAATTGTCCTGCCTGCCTGGCTCGATTCAATTTAATGGCAGAGAAGCATATCGCATAAAGGTAACGATGTGATCGTATTTACTTATTTACCTGGTGTGGTATCGCCCCGTCAGTCATGTTCTTGTTCACGAAGTCGTAAACTGTGAGAGATTAGAGGGGAATATGGCACGCTTTGATATGGGAGGAAATTAGGGAAAAATATGGGGGAAGGAATTGAAAATCTGAGCAAAATTGGGGAAATGTGGGGGTTTTTGAAAAAATTTTGAATTATGATTCTGAAAAATATGGCAAGTTCGATGTCATTTATTGGGAAATTTATGAAGGAAGAAACTGAAAATTCGATGCGATAAAAGTTGTGATTTAATGTAATTGCTTAAATGTGTGTGATTTTTGTAAAATTTTGTAATGATTCTGAAAAATATGTAGAGTTTGACGCCATTCAGAAATTTGGTTGAGTAAACTTAAAATTCTATGGATTAAGATTACGACCGCATATTGTTGTTTACCAATAAAATTTGCAATTTAGCATAATAACTAAATGTATGATCTGCATATTTATAAAACTATGCAATTAATTTGTTTTAAATAATCTTTTGCTATTATTTAATCCCGCAAAATTATACATGACAATGCCACAAAAAAATGTATTTACATATGTAATATTTACATCTGTAAATTAATAAACCTTTCACCCAAGATTTGCAAACTTCTCATAAAAAACCTCATCAATTCGTCATCCTTCATAAGAATTCTCCAGTCCGTACGTCCAGCCAGGGTCAGACTTTTACTTGCTTAATGTACCGTCTAATAGGTCCAAAGATTTGTTTATTACTTGCTCTCGGCTCCTGATGAAGTCTTTTAGCAGTTGGTCTCACCTCACCTTCTTTTTATTTACCTGCACACTGCACAATAGAACATGTATAACACGGTAAGTGAGCTGGCTGGCTAGCTACCTTCTTATCCAATCCTCCACCTAACTGACTTACCTGTGGCCTGGCCTGCTGGCTGGCCAGACCAACATACACAGAAACATATTCCAAACCATCATCAGGCAGCATTTTTCACTTCATTTTATCATCCTCACCTCACCCAACAAAGCCCAGTTGAGACTCGCACGCTCACCTGTGAACAACAAACGGCCACGTAAAATACAATAGAGAAACAGAGCAAAGAAGAAGTGAGACTCCAGCACTAATTGACTTACTGACTCGTGAAAAGATTTTTTTTAAAGTCAAGAGTTTTTCGAAGTTTTATACAAATTCATTTCGTCCAAAACGAAGAAATTCAAATCTATGAATTACTGTGCAGTAAATATCTGAAAATTTTAACAATTTGGCGTTTAAGTATACCAACAAATTTTTAAAATACTTTCCCCAGTGAAAAAAAGTAACTCTTAGATATTTTGTGCATATTTTAAAAAATTTGTGTCGTTTTTTTGGGAACATAAAGGGGGAAAATAATATTTTTCTGTTTGTGCCACCGTCCTCCCGACCGATGCGGTGTGTGGCGTGACCATGATGGACTTGACAGTGAAAGGGATGCTGGGCGGCGGGGGGAGTGGGGGCAAGATGTTCACGGAAGAGAAGCCACTCACCAACGGAAATGGACGGCCGGCCAAAGGGCTCTTCTCCATCAGGGATCTAGTCTCATGCGACGAGCCAAAAGGTACTTACCGAATTTCTGAATTTTTTTCTGATAAAAATTGGTGGCAAAAAATTAGGGTGAAAAGGTGATTTAGGAATTTCCATATTTCTGAACTCTTTGATCAAAATGAGTGGCAAAAACTTAGCTCCGAAACGTGGGTACTGATGGAATTTCCATATTTCTGGAATGTTTTTGGGATAAAAATGGGTGGCAAAAAATTAGCCGGTACATACATATGCAAAAAGTGGGGAAGACATGCATACATATTTTATGTACTTACGTATTTGGTGAGAGGGGTGAATCATTAGCGAATTAGTGACCGGAACATGCTGATTACTTGGCTACATACATGTGCCAGGTGGAGTGTGGGAAGTGAGGTGGCTGGATTAGTGGTGGATTAAGATTATATGTATCTCCATTAGTCCAAGGTTGCGGTATCGCGTTGTTTTTATCATTATTAACAAGAAAGGGCAGAAATTAGCCAAGTAAATTTCTCAATTTGATTAAGCAAATTATTTCTGAGAAATTTGGAGTGGGAGTGTGTGTACCACTAATTTTGCATGCAGGCATGCAAGTAAGTAAAACTGATAAAAGAAATGAAATGCATGTAAAAAGAATTATTGATTTCCAAAAATCTCTCGAAATTAATTTTTTAGTTGACGACTCAAATTGAAATTGTTCAACGCCGTTTTGCAAAATTAAGAAAAAATTGATGTCATAAAATTATTATCAGATTATCAGATGGGTTTATTTTGCTGTGAATCGAACTTCATTAATTAAACAATAGGTTTTTCTTATTAATCCATCTTTATAAATTATTCCAAAAATATCAATCCAGGCGAAAAACACAATATTCTCGAATTATTACGCTGACTTTAATCCCAAAACTTTTACTCTGACTTCCAACTCTTCCATAAAACTTGAAGAAATTTTGTATGTATATACTTTGTTACATACATGCTTAATTAATTTTCTTTTTTCCTCTCTCCGTTAATTAAATATTTATAACTTTGCTCATCCGTGGTAAAGTGGTGAGTACGAACACAGCGTAAAACATCCACTTCTTCTTCACCTTTATTAATGAACTTACACCCAGAAATTAATTAGCTATTCACTCTTCTGTCCAAATCTTGAATGCTGCATACACACATTGTTGTTAGAGAAGAATTCCTATCATTTCCATCCATCTCTCGCCGGACGGCTATCATCTTCTCTTCTCCCACCTTAAAAATGAACAAGGGGCTAATTTTCCTTAATTATTTTCAATTACTGTTTACACAGTTAGCGTGTATTTTTACTGAGAAGAGATACAAATCATCTCCACCAGCAGGATACGTATTAAAATCTACTACCTGTACGGCTACTCTTCCATCATATTCATCTCCCAAAATCACGACTACAACCAAAAACTTGTCAACATTTACGAGAACAGTGGCCGCGGAAGCTGTAGGGACATCTGGGGACATTAACATGGGAGGTCGGGGTTTATATAAGATGGGCAGATGATGGGGGCATCGAACAACCGTGGGGACATTGTCCCTCTGTCCCCGCGGCCACTGTAATAACTTTTTCTCTCAATCTCCATTTGCCTGGTTGGTTTACACAAATGTCGTCGTGGGCGGAGACGAAGCCTCATAATTTGTGGACACAATTAGCCATGAATAATTCCCATTTGTTAATCACCCCTCCTTCTCCCTTCTCCCTAAAAAAACGGCGAGAAAAAGACAGCCGCATCGAGAGAGAACACAACAATACAAAGTAATAATAATAATATCGTCTCGTAATAATGAAATGTAATCCTCTCTCTAATCCTTTCCTCATTGCGTTGCGGTTTAGTTTGTTAGTTGGTGGTCTTCTGGCTAGATTAACTCACGCCTTATTCGGCAAATGCAATTACAATTAGTCAAGACTTTCACAATTAAAATTAAAATCAGTCTTTTCTGCTGAGTCAAGATGCTTATTAACAATAAATTAATGGAATTAGATAGAGAGAGAGAGAGGGACGAGGCCAAGAAGAAGAAATGATGCCAGGTGAAGAAAAAATAAAGGGTTGAGTTTCTATTTTGTGTCGTTGCTTCTTGACTTGATTAAAGAATTCATTTAAAAAATGCGTTCATGTAATAATGTTGACTTGATGCATAACTACATAAATTTGAGCATTGTGGACTGAAATTTGAGAGATAGATAATTTAATTCGTCCACAATTACTGCGTCATTACGGGTTAATTGCACAAATATGAAAATCAAGTAGATACATAGCATAAGTAATTTACCATATTCCACCCGTCAGTGTCATTCATTTTCATTTTTCCAATCTGCACCTGGCACTACCAACCATGCAGATGAATGTTATATACGTTAATAGAATTTTTTCCCTAAAAGTTCACAAAAGTTAAAGGGCAGGCCAACTCGTAATAATTAAGAGCAACATGCAATTTCATAGAGAAACAAAGGGATTTGTACTGACGGATTAGTTCTTATGAACGATCTGGTTATTTTTTTGGTCGGTTAGCTAGCATATATCTCACACTTAATTATACCCGCAGGAGGAAATATATGTATTATCTACGACCCAAAGTTCAACTTACATTTATTTGGTAATTGTTTTAATAAACAATTATCGCTTAATGGTTTCAATGCCTTTGTGGTGTGGTGTGGTTGACTGGCAGATTAGTCCAAATCCCTGCGAGGTGAAGGGTTGTTAATTATGTATCGCGATTATTATAACGCTAAATGTCAAGTTGGTTATGGAGTACGCGTAATAGAATCGTGTAACCAACAGTGGCCGCGGACAGAGGGGCAATGTCCCCATCATCTGCCCATGTTATATAAACCCCTCCCTCCCCTATCCTGCAATGTTAATGTCCCCACAGCTTCCGCGGTCACTGGTGTAATATAATGCTTAATGCCAACAAAGTCAGGTGTACTGTGTGCATTACTTTTGCGTGCAGACTAATTTTTTTCCACGACACGTATTTGTCTGTGCATAGGTACGGATGGAGAACTTGAAATAATGGTAATAACAATAATAATAATAACTCCTCCGTTTATTTAGTAAAATGGGAGTAAATTAGCAAAAAATGAGGAAAGGCTTAATGACTCTAATGAGATTGAGAGAATGGGATTTATTTATTTATTACATGACATGCAAAGAGCAACAAGAACAACAACGACCACCGCCGCCTCGTAACCAGACGAGACTAATTATTGCTCTCCCACTTATCCTAGTTCATAAAAGTTAACAGTTTTTAACAGAAATTTGAATGGATGGGTGGATTGGATGATATGAAAAGTAACAGAAATATTTAGGTAGGTACGTGCAGTTGGGTAAATTAGCATAAAGTAGGATCATCATAATGGTAAGAAAAAAATTGTGATGTTAAAGTCATTTCGTAATTTTTTAAATTTTAAAAATTTTCTATTTTTACGTATAAAACTGTAACCGATTAAATAAAAATTGCTATGTAACGCTGCTGACAGCCCGACATCTCAAAAGTCGTTTAATAATTTATTTATTTCAAAAATTTCCAAAATGTCGCTAAAATTTGTCAAAAATCCTAATTAATTACAATCACCTCTCTCTCTCTCTCTCTACTTCCTAATTTTTATTACAATTCCCAATTAAAAATACTGTTCTTCTTATCCTTAGTTGGTTGCCCTCTTGCTCGATCCAATCTATAAAACCAATTAATGAAACGTCGTATCCAATTTTATTCTCATGTCCACTTCAAAATGCCGACTATCCAACTCTCCGCTCACTCCATTTAACAAGTACAATAATAATAATTAGAAATTAATGAGAGCACCGACCATTTGTTAATCAGCCATTATTTCAAGTCACGATTTATTTAAGTCTCATCTTGTGCAATCATCGCGTAAAAAAATGTATGCATAAGATTTTACACGCTGCAGCAGAAAGAAACACCTTCATTTCATTTTATTCTTTCTTTCTTTTTAGCCATCTATCTCTCTCCTGTCAACCTGATTGGAGGAACAAAATGACTGACACGGCTTGATTTCATTCCATATTTTACTAATCACTTCGATTCACTGTGAAAAAAAATATAATGCAATTTACAAAACATAATTTTGCAACAGGGATAAACTGACACTTTCAATCAAATCAGATCATATCAAAATTAAAGGAGACTTGTTACGGGGTAAATAATTGTTAAGAGTTAATGCATATTTACCACTTCAGAGACCTTGTAAATAAACGATTTGGAAAAGATCAATTAAATTTTAAGTACCATTAAATCTTGACAAACTTCTTGAAATTTGCGTTTATTTAAATACAAAATGTGTAAGAAAGTGTCTAAAAAATTTTATGACTTTTTTTACTACCCAATTTTCCAATCAATCCGCTCCCATTTCCAATAAATCAATCAATAATCAAGCCCATTACGTTACGTCTACAATGCAAGTTATCAAATTATTTTGATTAAATTGCACCTATGCACAAAAAATGCATCTCTTTCTTTCTTGACTCTTTGTACGTACGTATGAATAAAATAAAATAAAAATAACGATCTAATCTCGTCCTTTAATTTTCGAGGTGACGTTTCTCAATAAAAAAGTAATTACATTTAATCTCTTTTCACATTTTTAGCGATAATACGATAATAAGTTGCATACATACACAGAGAGCCAGCCGTCAGATAAACAGTGGCCGCGGAAGGGTGTGGACAATGTCCCTACGGTTATTCGATGTCCGCATCATCTCCCCATCTTATACAAACCCCTCCCTCCCCTATCCTACAATGTTAACGTCCCCACCCCTTCCGCGGCCACTGCACCCACTTCACCCGGTCGTCGTATACATAATTACATTTATTAGAAGGGGACAAAGGGGATCAAATTGGATTTGGAGGCTCTGCTGCATAGCTCTGGATTTTTTATTGTCTTTGTTTTTCTGATTCAAATTTAAATTTAGATTGGCCAAACGTAGAGCAACATTTAGTTAGTGTGTAGATTGAAAAATGGAATAAAATGAAACGATCAGAAACGATTATATTCGAGATACAAGATTAGAAAATTGAACTCATTCGCTGCTCTTTTGCTGCTTTTGTATTGTGCCAGAGTTAATTGAGAGAATGAGATCAGCAAAAATCCACACTCATCTAATTACACATTCCTCCAAGACGACGACGACGATGTCGACGTCGACGACAAGGATGCTATTGCGGTGAAATTAATACAGGCAAGAGCTGGATGGAGATTTCAGTTGTGGTTTGGTTTGGTTATTCGACTTGATAAAAGAGGGTGACTTTTCGATGTGATATGTCTGTGGTAATTTGTATACGAACCAAATTTAATTTTCAATCGAGATGCTAGATTCAATTTACGAAAGAGAGTGAGTGAATGAGTGGCGACAAGTGCTGATATTTTTGTAGGCTGGCATTTTTATCTATTAGGAGAGGGTGGAAGGTTGCAGGTGATAATAAAATGTGGTTGGTTGGTGACAAGATTTGTCTACCTCAGTTTGTGGTAATTATTTATGCGAAATTTTATTTAGTGTCATGCTACAAAGAGTGAGGGTATGATTGCTTTATCATTATTAAGTTTTGAGTCAAGGATAAGCTGTGGTTTGGTTTGGATTTTGGTGGTGGGGGTGAAAAAAATGTATGTATGCGCATATAATGTAGTTTGGGATAGATGTCAAATATTTTATGGGAACCAAGTAAAATAATGTATAAAAGTTGTATATTTTCAGCGACAATTTCGAAAAATGTGGAAATTTTGATAAATCTAAAAAGCTTACAGATACAAAGATAATACCGGTTGGATTAGAGACACTGACTTTTCTGAAATTGTGGCACTCTACCTGTAAGCTTGTTGGACATATCAAATTTCCACTTTTCTTGAAATTGTCGCTGCAAATATGCAACTTTTATATTTTTAGTTTCTATAAAATATTTGACATCTCAGCAAGCTTACAAATAGGATGCCACAATTTCAGAAAATTCAGTCTCTAATTCACCTGTCCTATTAATTTCCCACATTTCGCTCACAAAACGGCTCGTTAATCCAAAAGTAAAATAAAAATAAGGCCCTTCATTCAAACAACACCTCCTTTAAAGTCTCCCAATTTCCACTCTTTCCCAAAAAAACATCATCATCCCGACCAAAACAATGAATTAGTTCAAGTCTCTTCTCTGGATAGATCAGTCTCCCGTCTGATTTTTAGTTGTATATTGACTTTTGTTTTCACACAGGGATCCGCATCTCTCTCTCTCTCTCTTTCCTCCTTAATGAAATAATGGGTGTTAAATGGTGAATTATCAACTTATAACAATGAGAAACCAGAGTTCCCTGGCGCCGCGTCGACGATACAAGATTTCAGACGCCTGATTCTTTCATGTCATGCCTGCACCCCGCACTTTGGAAATTCGTCTCGGATTGTGCACTATTTAATTTTAACATCAAACTCGCTCTTTTCATCTGCTAAATAAAATTTATTTATTACGAGACACAAATCCATAATTGATCATCATTTAGTGCGATGCGCAGTTAAATAATAATCATCCCAAGATAAAAAAAATCTCATCGAATTAGCAGCCATTTTGTGCAATGGTACCACTACTGTCATTTTGCCTGCCTTTTTGGTTCTTGGCAATTTGCCACCATCAGAATTGCGGAGGTGTTGGAGTGGAATAAGTTGATGTTGTCGAGTCGCCGATTCACTTAATGAATGGTTTTGTTGCATAGAGATGCGCGCAGTGGCCGCGGAAGCCGGCGGGGGGACATGTGGGGACATTGCCATTGTAGGATGGGGGAGGGACGGGTTTATATAAGATGGGGAGATGATGGAGACATCGAACAACCGTGGGGACATTCTCCCTCTGTCCGCGGCCACTGGAGATACATCTTCGTGTAGCATCTTCGTCATCCTCTTGGTCGGATGAGTGTCTCATTTACAAAGTGAAACAAAGTCTGGTTGACTGCGTGCGTCTTCTGTAATGACGTGATTATTGGGTGGTTTGGTTGGTTGGTTGGTTAGCTAAGCTTATTTCATTTTGTCAACGACCTAGCATGAAAAATTTCACGGTTTCGTTAACAGTTTTGCCGCAGCACTAAAACCTTTTTGTTTCTGTGAAGGAATCCATAAAAACTTGGTTAAGTTTATTATTACCTAGTCCACTTTTGGAAATGGGAGTAATTTCTTTAAGCATGTAAATTTTTACTGCATTTTCTGAATTCTTTTCACTTTCACGTGTGTAAAAAGATTCAAGTTGTATGACGCCTAATGTTATGCATACCTACCCACAATTACGTTGAGGTAGTTAAGTAAATAGTTAAGGTTGAACAATTTCTCTCATGTTGTCTATTAAGTGACGAGGTGATTAACTAATTGATTAAATTAGCAGTAAAAATACAGAGTGTGAAATTATTAGGTTTCGTATTCCTTCCAATATTTGTACGCACATGAAGAGAGAACGTGCATGGGTAATAACTGTCCAAAACTGGAGTGAAATGTTGGGTGTAATGTTTCTGGTCTAATTTATGATTATGATTATTACCATGAATTAACAAATGGCCAATGTTCCAGTCAAAACTCGCTATTTTTTAACAACTTTGACGAGATATGTACTTAACTAAAGCTTGAAGATTTCTTCTTTCATGTTAAGAATGCAGACGGTTTAACGAGTTTGGTTAATTAGAGTAATTCGTTTAATAATAAGGAGGCAAGAATTTTCAAGTGTGAACCGATTTTGTTAAGTATTCTATTTTAAGAAAAATGCGAGATTTAAGTCACGTTGAACTTACTTAATTATGAATTTAACAAGACAACTATTAAAATTAGGTACTTTTTTCTGATCCAAGTTTTAATTTACGAGAATAAATCCGTACATATTTCTAGTTAATTTATGAAAAACTTTGTACAAAAACGTCAAGTCTAATGCACTACCGATTTTACAAAGTGTTCTATTTTAAGAGATTTAAGTCACGATGAAAGTAACAAGACAATAATTAAAATTAGGTTTTTTCTCATATAGTTTACGAGAATAAATCCGTATTTGTAATCAATTTGCGCAAAACTTTGTACAAAAAACATAAAGTTTAATGCACTTCACGTCAATTTTTTTCTCTCAAATTCACTCCGCCATAATAATACTATTCCACAAAGGAAATTCAATTACTACTCACAAATTCAGTTTGCAGAAGGAGCAGTTAACTCATCCTCCTCAGCCCGATTACATTATTACATACCTTACCAAACTGTGCAGTAGATAATCATCCCTAATTTCTTCTTACCTCAAATTCACTCCAAGAACGAATTGATACGTAAAAAAAAGTTGTGAAAAGAAGAAGAACAAACAACTCCAAGTTGTATTATAAAATCACGATTGAATTCGGTTACTTTATACAAACTGGGAAGATTTTTTTTCTCTCGTGGTCATTACGACATCACATTTAGAAGACCACACCACACTCGAGATCATCATCATCATCATCATTTTCTTCATTCCTCGTAATAATAATATCCATCCTCCGACTTTTATAAATAAATTAGGCTTCCACTTCCAACTTCTTGCCATGTTAGTAGTTGTTGTAATAGATAATATTTAGCAAATAGTGTAAGTGTTGGTTGGACTTTTTTTGTGATGGTTCATCTTCTCCTTTGGTTGTGGTTACCACGTCCGTCTTATCTTTTTTTCTGGGTATTTATTCAGCATCACCACTTTTGATTCGATTTGATTTACAAGAATACAGGTGTGACTTCTTTGTTTGTATAAAAGGAAAAAGAATCAAACCACAAATAAGTTTGGTTTGGGATAAAATAAAATAATTTAGGGGGTAATAGTAAATTATTTTCAGCGCGCAGTGGCCGCGGAAGCTTGAGGGGACAGAGGGACATTGTCCCCACGGTTGTTCGATGTCCCCATCATCTGCCCATGTTATATAAACCCCTCACTCCCCTATCCTACAATGTTAATGTCCTCACGGCTTCCGCGGCCACTGTCAACGCGTAAAACTTTTCTCACACATGATTCAAGAGAGAGACAGTTTGATTCCGATTTGATAAATCAATTCCAAACTTGACCAGCCCAAATTACGAGACGAGTAAATTTATGTAATTAAGTCAAAGTTTTAGCTGCTGGCCTTAGTTTAGTTTAGTTATCATCACGTCACCTTCTTCCACCTTGCTTGTCATGGGTGACGGAAAAGTAGTAGTAAATAAATAAGTGGCGAGATGAGATGATTAATTGACACCTTAGAAAGGGTACATATGTACCAGTGCATACTGTGAGATAGAGGAGGAGACAGACCCTGTCTGCCCTTAATGGATGGGCCATGTCCTGTCTTATCCATCATCACCATTAAAGGCCCACCAGCACTTTTGTCACCAGTTCAGACCAGTCCACCCCTTTCCATTTTCGAGATATGATTTTCATTTCCAACTTTTTTCTACTTTTTAGATTATCGTTCCCCTTCCGAGAGTGATACTGCGGACAATCACCACTTGCGAGATTCCTCGCCCAGAAGTTCGGACGACCATGACCATCAGTCCTCGAAAACTGGGTCCGCCAAGGATGACGAGGAAGAGGGCGACGGGCGGTTATCGGATGATGGCGAAGGTTCCGAGGAGGGCGGGATGGATGATATGCCCAAAAGAAAACAGCGTCGATACCGGACCACGTTTACGTCGTATCAGTTGGAAGAATTGGAGAAATCATTTGCCCGTACGCACTATCCTGATGTGTGAGTTGCTTCTTTTTTTGCTAATTTTCTGTGCATGAATTGTTTTTTGAAAATTTTATGTTTTGTAGAGTTTCAATAATATTTCCAGACGTAGATTTTTGAAACATTTGTGAAATTTTTGTAAATATTTCTTACAGGTTTACACGGGAAGAACTCGCCATGAAAGTTGGACTGACCGAGGCCAGAATTCAGGTGAAGATGAAATTTACTAATATCATGTTTTTTATAACCTGAAATATTACACATAATTTACCAAAGTCATACTTTTTCCCAATACGACGTAAAACTGACTCAAAACATTCTCTCTCCAGGTTTGGTTTCAAAATCGTCGCGCAAAGTGGCGAAAGCAAGAAAAAGTAGGCCCCCAGTCGCACCCTTACAACCCCTTCGCCCAAACCATCAGCATGGGCGGGGGTGCCGGTGGAGGTCCAATTCACGCCTCGTCCCCCTCACAACTCGGCCCCTTTTCCCCCCTCTACCTCCGAAAAGGTTTAATGGGCGATAGTGGTCTCCACCATCACCACCACCATCCCTCCACCCCCACCGCGGCGGCCGCAGCTGCGCTAAATTCTGCCGCCGCGGCTCGCGCTGCTGGGGGCGCGGGCGGTCACCCGGGTCAAGGTTGGCCACAGGCACACCCACTTTCACCCTACTTCCCCTCCCCCCTCGGGTCCCATCATCACCCCGCCTTGCACAGAAACCCGTTCCTCAACCTGCCCGGTCTTCCTGGGAGTTACCTCCCGGGGGCGCCTTCCTTTCAAAATTTACTGGCGCATTTAAACGTTGCCGCCGCCGCGCAACAACTCCCTCCCGGACATCCGTTAGGATCCCTGAACGCGGCCGAGTTTCTGTTACAACATTCCATGGCGGCGCAACAGCAACACCATCAGCAGCAAAGTGGTGGGGGATCCCACAGCCCGATTGGTCCCCAACTTAGCCACAGTCCCCCACAAGGTCACCTTTATTCCGGGGTGATCGGTGGTGGTGGGGGAAGTGACGCTGGGAGAAAGTCGGGTTCCAATTCGCCCCTGGGTGAAAGTAGTAACGCGAGCAATGACGCGAGTGGGAGTGAATATCATCACGGGGGCGACGAGAGGAGGTCTTCGTCCATTGCGGCGTTGCGGGTTAAGGCGAGAGAACATGAGATCAAGTTGGAACAAGGGTTGAGACTTCCGGTCAATAATAATCATCACAGTAGTAGCGAAGATTTGGTGACAAATTGAGACGAAATTGGACCAGATCTGCTTTGTAAATCTAAGTTGTCTCAATTTATGTATCTCAAGTGACGTGCATATAGTGACCAATTTATTATTCCGTCCAAAGGAAGAAGTGGAAGAAAAGTTGATGTGATACTTGGTAAACTTACCTCAAGTTAAAAAAAATATTGTGTAAGTGTGCAAATTTTTTTGCAAATTTTTCATAGCGTATAGTTATTTACTACTATTATTAGTATTGCATAATGATATGCTTATCCTATTATTTGTAGGTGTGTGATTTATTTAGTAAATTATTTATGCCACGTTTTCCTCCAGTTGTGAAACAATTCAGTATTTGAAGTTAGCATTGTCCCGATTTTAAATAACTCATTTCATGTTTTTTAATTATTATTTTATTAATATCGAAAAGATCTCAATTATTCATTCTTGAACATAAAAAATATTTAGGAGAATATTTAAACTTGTTAATTATATAATTGTTACTCATCGTATTACATACCTAATTCTAGTTTTTGTTGACAATTAAATTATTGCAATTAGCATATTTGACACAATACTAGTTAATTAATCAAGATAGACCTCTCACACGGCCGTATTATCTAAAAATTAAGGCAACAAAGCAATAATATGTAATACATAAGTAAATAGCAGAAAAGGAGAAAAATGAGATTTTAAGAAATAAAAAAAAATCTTGAATTTAAATATTTTCAAAATAGCATTCCCTTCCTTCCCATCATAAACTTTTTAAAAAATATGCAAAAAAAGAAACTACAAAATTAGAATCACCATAATTTCTTGGAAATCAAAACCAGCCCAAATTGCCCCAAGCCTCACGATTAAGAAGATATACCGAATTGCTGACGGACGGACGGACGGACGGACGACTCTCTTCTCCCCTCCTTAAAACTTGTACTTTGGAAAATAACAATAATTGAAGCCAGCAGGGTGCTGGAAAGATTTCTTTAATTTCTCTCCATCCACCACCAAGTGAATTGTGGTCGTTTAAGTGATGAAAACAAAAGGGCACCAAAAAGATGTAATGTAACCCTCTGGATTTATCACTCTTGTTCGGAGGCGTCACTCCAAATGGGATTCCTTCCGGGGGACTCCCTTCTTCCCCACTTTTAAAAAGTGCACATCCACCGACGGACCGACGGGCCGACGGGTCTGTAAGAAAAAAAATTAACTTTTTCCTTACATCAATGTCATCATCTTTTCAGGTCAAATGGGTCTCATTTTACCCCAGAAGAAAAATATGTTACCACTGCCAAAATACTTGTAATGAAGGAAGCGTTACTTGGATAATTTTCAAACTCCACCCACCTCTCGAGAAACATTAGCTAACTAACCAACTAACCAACTAAACATTGTTTAGTTGCCCATTCATTCTTCTTCAAGGGCAAAAAAATAAGTGAACCGACAGAGAGAAGAGAGAGCGAGGGTCACAAGAGGACAATACATTTCCAGTGGGCAGTTAATTAAAATGAGTAAATAATAACATAGTGGGAGCTAATATTTTAGACAAACAATCTCTCAAAAAGTTTTCTTCCGAGAATTCCGGGGTAGCAGTTTGCCGTGAAATCCTTTGTGTCATTGCGACCGGAAGGGTCAGCAAGAGTAAGAAAAAGAGAGAAACAATATTTTATTTATTGGACACAAAACTACATTATGCAACATGGTAGCAAAACAGAAAATTCCTGGAAATCTTTCCCCAGAAACTTAATTAAATCCGGGTCCGTCGGTATCGATATTTGTAGTGATTAATAATCCCATTCTGGAAATGAGACTTAATTTTCTCCCGGCTTTTTTATTATAGCCGAACCGAAATATGGATTAAGATTTCTCAGAAAAAGTAAGCAAAATTTCATTAATTTCATCGCATCAATCGTAACATAAATTAGATTAGTCAACTCAACAACATTTCACATTTTGTGACATGTACAGAACCAAAACTGGATTTGTAAGATTGTAAATTTATTATGATTATTATTTTTGGGTGATTTTTTTTTTCACTGTTTCACTCAAAAAATGGGAGTTTCCTTATTTCCCACTTTCATTAAGGGCTCCGTGGGGGTCCTGGCTCTCAAAACATGGCTTAAATTAAGGGCAGCATTAACTAAGCAGCCCAGAAAGGTTTCTACTTATTTCGACTGGCAAAACTAATTTACTTTACGTGCATGATGATGTTTTCTGGTGATGATCATGAAGTATTGGATTGATGGGTGAGAAAGAAGTGGGTTTGTTGGCAGTGAACCACACCAGCTGAACCTTGTACATTTCTTGATTTCTTCGTTACCTTTCCATCTTTACAAGGTATATTACCACGTTTTCCTAATTGGCAATATGCAATGCTTCAAGGGTCAGTTGCTGGCAATGATGGTTTCGATTTGCTCAGATTTCGTACACTTTTTTCAACGGAGAAAGTCCGTCTAGTCGGGGAAAGTACTGTGAAATTGAAATGCATTATTATGTGTACAAGTAAAAACACAATCACAAATGTACTAAATGAACATTATTCGAAATATTAATTAATTCGAAATATTTCCGAAACTCATTTCCAATTTGTGATCTGCATATGTCAATAAAACATTTCATATTTTCCCAAAAAAATCCCAATCGGACTCCAAATCTTACATCAATTTTCATAATTTTTTTGACCACATTTTTAGTTTCTTTCCTATCCATTATCCATCTCACTACTTCAAGACGTAACAAAATGCTTCATTTCTTGCTTTCTACTCCCCTCTCATCTTCCCACCCACATGTAGCATGACAATGATCCATCATATCATCATCCATGTCATTCTATTTCATAATACCCATCGAACGAAATAATAAATAAGTGGATAATTTTTATGGGAGTGAGCCCAGTAAAAATCATCATAATAATTTATACTTCTTCTTCTTCCCATAAGTATCACATCTTCCCCACTAATAGCGATGCGTATGTATGACTCGTAATAATAATCTTGCCCTTGCTGCCTCCACCTGAACTAAACTAAAAGAAAAGCGATCATATAATTTACTTTACTTGTAATATTATTTCAAATCTTCTTTCCCGTCCTCTCCAACATAATTCTTGTTATTGTGTCGGACCAAAAGAAAAAACAAGAGATGATGATCATCATCATGAAAATGAAGGAAGAATAAGAATCCGATCTACCAAAAAGCGTAAATGTTGGTCTCCCTCTTGACTATTGTTATTACTGTTTTGTACAAGAAAATGTGTATGGATGAAGAATTGTGTCTTGTTTTGCCGAAAGGGTTGTGACTTATAATGGAGGTTTCTCAATGTATGCTCTCAGATTTTGAGCAAATTCGTGTCAATCGAGCACACATTTAATTAATATGAAATTTGCAAATGGAGCTATCTGCCAATGTGGTTTTGAGAAATTATTTGCATTCAAAGATGAGAACATTCGCTGTATATGAATTTGGCAAGCGTAAAATTTGCTCAGTTTTTGATGCATTTTCTCCTCTTTGGATGCAAATAAATTGACCAAACGTGCGCATTGGGAGAAGTATCATTTGCAAATTTCATATTAATTATATTTGTGATAGATTGACACCGGTTTTGGTAAAAAATCTGAGAGCATACGTTGGGAGACCTCCATTACATGACTTCATATGCATACAAGCTATTCTTTCTCTTGTCCCCTCCGACCTAATTTTCCTGCCTAGTCAGATGTCATTAATTCCGGTAAGAGAATTCCATTACGTAATGGAATTGCATAATTATTTTAAGGTTAAAGTTGCATCATAATGGTCGTCTAATTCGAGTAAAACTTGTAAACTTTAAATGCCTAAAAGGTAATTTAGATTAATTTTTATAGCTACAAAAATATTTTTCCAGGTACGCACCCCATATCCTATAAAGATATTGACTATGTAATCAATTTTCATTTAAATTTTTGCGTAAGAATTATACTTAATTATTATCACCTTTAACTTTAACTTTGTACCCAAACCCAACTAAAATTCTCTCCAAAAGGATATTTCCTACCTTTTCAAGTATAATTTACAACGTGAAAGATAAAACTTTTACAACCAACTTCCTACCCATCTCTCAGGGAGTTTTGGTAGGATAATTTTTGCAAATTTATTTAATTAAGGAAATTTCTCCCATTGTTGTGTGTTGCCTGAGATTTTTGACGTAATCCTGTCTGATTTTTATCTCCGGTGGGATAAAATCTGGACGGCTGCTTTTGACTTTATTACACCACTATTTACCAGATACTGCTTAGTACCCCATCGCCCATTATTACCTGTAATATTACATACTCTCCTGATTATAAAGTAGCAACATCCATCCGTATTATGGTAGCTGTGCTGCTTAAATTTCCAGTTTTTATTGGCAAAAGTTGCAACAATAATGCAATTATGGATCTGCACTGAGAAACAGCTATCTCTCTCCTTTTATCAAGTTCGCATTAATTACTTGACCCTTGTTTTCCACGTGAGAATAAATAATTAGGTAATAAAAATCATGCCAGTCGTAAAATCTGGTTTTGATATAGTTTCGTCATAAAATAATTTTTTTACGGAAAGAGGTAACTTTTAAGATTACTTTTTGAAATAAATTTGTGAATTTTGGAAGTTTAAAATATTTCAAAATTTTTCTAGTAGCAAAATTTGCCCCCAAATTGTTACACTATTTTATTCACAGATATTTGCATATTGTAAAATCCAACCTAGCCCACATTACACTAATCGTGCATACGCATTTTACTACTTTCAACTTTTTGGAAATTCAAAATTTTCAAAATTTTTCCATCCTCCAAATTGTTACAGTTTTATTTACGTTATTTGCATATTGTGAAATCTAACCCAGTCCAGATTACATTACGCTAATCAATTTTTTTTACTAAAACAGGCAACTTTTAAAATTTAAATTACTTTTAGAAATACTGAATTTTGGAAATTCAAAATTTTTCTAAATTCTTCTACCAACAAAATATGCCCCCAAATTATTACACTATTTTATATTTGCATATTGTGAAATCCAACCAACTCCATTTTACATTACACTAATCATACCTCCACATTTTACTACTTTCTATGAAACCAACCCATTCCCTGCTTCCTTCTCAACTCTGTTGTTTTGTCGTTATCAATGTAAAGATCGCTAATTAAATTGGCATCTTTTACGACCCTCTCTGCGCACCCACCACTTCGCTCTTTTTAAGCAGCTCCACTTTATTCCCCATGCACTCAAATAAATCCATTTTCGCTGCTCGTTTCCTTCACAAAGTTTTATTGATGGTGAAGCAAAATGAATAATAATCATAATAATAATATAACGATAACTAACTAACTTTGGTCTGAAAATATTGGGTGAAATTTTAACACGAAAATTAACTCGAGTAAGTATCTAATTTAATGACTAACTTTACACAGGTACTAGTGAATGATAACCAAGTGGCTTAAATTGTATGTGGGAATTTCCAGAAATTTCTGCAATAGATAGATAAATTGGCAACAATACAGATAGCGAATCAACAATATTATTACGATGGAGGATATTTGCCCTTCAACTTCCCACTAATTCAATCATAAATAATGATATAATTCGTCATTACTTAGTTTAGTTAGTTAACTAACTAACTTTTCTACTGCTCCGGTATCATCATAATTATATGACACACAATAAAAAATACGCACTAAACCTTGCTACA